ACAAATCTCTCTACTAGCTAAGCAGGCAGACAGTAAGAGTATTTGCATATATAGGCAAGATGCATAATTCCTGGAAGCATCAAGTATGACTACCTTTAGTGCGGGACAATGGGGACTCCGATTGGTAAGCTAAAAATATTGGAGATCCAAGGAATTAGAGATATCAATTATTCTAATATGTATTTTCAACACACACCTGGCACTAATATTCTAACATTATCTATCACTTTGTTTAGAATTTAAAGCTTTAAAAGTTGCCTATATATATCATTATATAACACTGATGATAATTGCGCAAAAATGCCCAGAAAATATAAAAAAGTTGACCATTTGAAGAAATGTTTGACCCTTGGGTGAGTGGAGTTTAAAAAATAATCATCAATTATATCATCTTACCTTCTCCAGTGTTCTCTCATAAGTTCTGATGCTCTCAATGAGGCTGATAGCAAAGGGATATAGCTGGTTAGCCTGATGAGCCTTATTCACGATAGGCAGAGGAACGCGAAACCCGAGATTTCTTAAGTTTCTCACTTCTTTAGATAGTGTAATAATCTCTGGGAGGAAATTCACTTTCAGCTTCAACACATTGCCACGTCCCGTTCTCGAACGCACGCTTTCGATCGTGAAGATACGTCCAGTTACACCGAGATTCCGTGCCTGCACCTTACGAGCCCAATCATCGAAGATCTCTTGCGTCGACAGCTTCATACGAAAGCTATCTCCATCGGCCTTTAATTTCTGACCTTCAATATGACTCTCCCATCCTTTGCCTAGAAATATGCATATAATATTAAATCGAGAAAAGTATTTTTTTTTAATTAAAAGTTGAAAAATTACCTAAAACGTCTTCGACACGTTTTAAATACATTGTTAATTGGTAATCAATTTGCTTGACCCATATTATTGAACCAGCAACAGGCGGCAAGTCTCTCACCATACTCATCCTGCAGCATTTACTTTGAGCGTATTGAACCTGTAGAGAATTTTTCAGAATTACACAAACGCATTCATTTGTTTCAAAATAATAAATAATTAAAATAATAGTTAAAATAAATAGTTAAGATTATCTGTATCTATGAGACCTTGAACTTTTCGTGCAACGCTTCGATATCGTCTTTGACTCTCTGTATGAGCTGCGTTTGATATTCTCTAATAGCACCCCGAATATGCGGTCGTACGAAAAGCGCATTGAATCTGGAAAATATCCTGAACATCTCGTTCGCGTTCTTAGCCGTGCCCAATTGATCTCGGAGATGCGCCGTGATCCGTGCTTCCACACGTTCTATACGCTCCTCGTATCTATGCACAGCGGCGTCCCAGGATTCCTGTCCCTCCTTGGTGATGTCCAGGCAATCCACCTCCTTTACGTTCTCATACGCTAAGTTGACTTCACTGATAGCATTGGCGTCCGCGGCATCCAAAGCAAATTCTACTTTCACGTTGTCGTTATCGCCATTCTCTATCGTGGAGTTGTTACTGTTTTGACGAATTGTAGGCCGAAGAACGCGAACTATCACCGTTCTCAGCTGTTCATGCTGTCGCCGGAAGCGACGCATGTGCTCCATCCTCGATTGCAGCTTCTTGTGCGCTGGCAATACCCTCCACACCATTTTCATGTGCTCGTCGCGTTTTTTCTTCACCACGTCTCTCAACAGACCCGTGAGCTTATCATACTCATCGTCCCAGGTAGTGAACACCTCGAAGCATTGAGCCATCACCTTCTCGAAATCGTCAAACGGGATATGCATCAATCGTCGTGTACCCAACACCTTGAGCAACTGCTGCCCCAAGTCCCTCGAGATAGCTTCCACCAATCTCAGCACTCTTTGAATCGGATATTTAGTGCTTCGAATCTTTCGCAAGTGCATGAATATCTGCTGTACGTTGCTACGTATCCTTTCCAGTTCGGTAGCCGATAATAGATCGTTGATCGGAAAGTCTTTCATCAGTGGATTGTAATCGTTTACAGTAGCCAGCGCTTGTTTCAGGCCGGTGTCAGTGTCGAAGCTTACCGTGGCATGGAATCTCTTGCCATGTTTAAGTATGTCGAGCGTCAGAGAGATTTCGATGCTCTCCCGTTTCTCCTGGATACGATGCAACGCTCTTTCGAGATTCAGCCAGAATGATATCTCCTGAAGCGCCGTACCCGATTCCGGATCACGATTCAGCTTCGTCACCTTCTGGATCTCTTTTATCCATCTGTTGACGCCGTTCTGCAATTGATTTAGAAACGTCGAATCCTCCACCTTATCGCCAAAGTCGGCAACTTTCGGCTTGCGACCTTCCTCCTCGCATTGCTTGATGACTTGGGCCACGATCGGGTGAACCGGTAATGAAATCTCGGGGATATCGATGTTCTGTTGTAAATGCAATAATCCCATCTCGAGTTCCGCAATCTTCTTCTCTACCAACGGTACCATCTTGTCACCGTCCCTGTGAGCGCGACCTGTTTCCCTTACGTAACTTTTAAAATACGGTGCCATGGTTTTACTTATCGCATGTAGAGTCTCGTATGGTGGCCCATCGGCGAATGTGATTAAACGCACTTGAGAGTGGATGGACTTGTCAGCCTCGATGACACCCCCACGTTTCGTCAAAACTAAGGAGGCCATTTTCGGATTCGAAAAGTGTATCTCGTTTGACATATAATAAGTCGCATTCTCCTTGTCCTCATCTCCCTCACCGCTATCTTCCTCTGCGCAAAGAGAGAACAACAAACATAAGTAATGTTGAAATGTTATTAAACAAGTGATTAAATCATGATGAAAAAAAATTATGAAGCAAAAAGAAATTACATATAAAAAAATTTATTAAAAATTCTTATCTATAATATATAATAATAATTTCTCATTTAATAAAAATTTTTAGTTGTATATATTAGTGTATCTTATTCATCTAGAAAATAAAATATATTTTAATTAATATATTTTATTAATATACTTAATACATTTTCTATACAAAATATATTTATATTTGATTTATATTCTCTATAAAATATATTTATATTTCCATAAAAGATATTTATATTTGAAAGAAAGAGAGAGAGAGAGAAAATTCAATATTAAATAAGACGTTTAGCATCGTTCGATTATTCGGAGGTGCAGATATAGACGGGATTCCTTATCAGGGATTCGTTATCAAACTCCGCAAGTTGCGCAGCAAGAGGAATTTGATCCGAAAAATCGGAGGAAAGTGAGAGAACGAGCGCGTCCGTCGATAATTAATGCGTTGCCATATATATATCGATCTCGCCGGCGAACGAGTGAGTCATCTCGCAGGAGAGAGATCGTCATAGGGCGTGCGAATAATTCGCGATTGATTTTCAGGACGCGTTCCTTCCCACGTTGAATGTACCGTTGCTCCGACAGCAATGGAGGATGCGAGACGCATCGGAATCGTCCCCGACGAGGACGGCTCACCTTTGGTCGAGCTCCTCTGGATGTAGAGCGAGCTGACTTGCGAGTCGCCGAGGAACTTGCGCACGCAGTCCTGGTTATAGCGCTCGTCGAGCGCCAGGTTGAACGCGGGCGGCACCGTATCCTCGTCCGGTAGCAGCACGGTTACAGCTTTGCGCAGGTAGTTGGCGAACGTCGGGAACTCGACGATCGCGACGTTCTGCGACTCCGGGGACGGTTCCCCGGAGCCGTCCAAGGAATCGCCCATGCCGGGTCGGATATTGCTACGTGTCGCTGAGCTACTTCACCGAGGTCGGTCTCGAGGAGAGCTAATCGACCACAGGAGATCGACTGACCTCCCCCGCTTCGGAATCAACTGTCAAGCGACCACCAGCGAATACGCGATCACCACTGACTACCACGAAGCATGACTATGAACCGCGCAAGGTGACACTTGGCCGCGTAAAGTCCACGATTATGCTTGGTCCCACAACCTTGCTTTAAGTGACGGAGTGGTAAAAAATTGACCAACCACAGTTGAATGTGAGAAGAATAATTGAATACGATTGGTTAATTTCTTACGACTCCATCAGTTAAAATAAGATGATTGTGGACCAACTTTATGCGAAAATTTGCTCATCAGAGAAGAGTGACGTTTGTGATTGACCAATCCAGAAGCAGGATCAATCAAATAATTTCTTTGTCGTCATTGGTCACTCAACCTTATTTTAACCAACGAGTAGATTTTCGAACGCAATCTAGTAAATCTAGTAAATCTAGTAAATTTTTGTAAAACCGTATTCTCATCTACATACGTGCTAAAGTCACAAATAATTTTTCGAAAATAAGTATAAACCCTTAAAAATTCAAAAACGATATCCGTGTGACATTTTGCCACATACGCAATTTCTTTTGGAATAATATATTTTAAAGCAAAGTGTGCCTGTGATACACACACACACATCTGAATTAATTTCTTTTCTAAACTAAAATTGAATTTAGATATTAAACAGTCAGTTAAAAATATTTAGCAATTGATTTTTATAGATGTAAAATATGTTTCCATTAAAAAACGTGAAAGAAATTTTGTATACCTATATGATCTTTTATATGTATACATATAATTGATCAGATTTGTATATATGAAAAATATTTTATTAAACTTCTATTTTCATTATTTATAATACAATAGATATTAAAAATCTTATAATTTTATGCAAAAAAGATAAAAAATTAATTTCTGTAAAATAATTTCCGAAAAATTCTCATTCACACAATCTACACTAATTTACACAATTTAATTTGCAAACCCTTGACCATTACATTAGAAAGAAGGAAGATCAATCATGTCTCTATTTGGTCAATTGATTATTTTTATATATTAAGTTGGAATTATAATAAAATATTTTATTTGTTAAATAATTATTTGTCCTTTTTGAATAATTATTTATGTTTTCAATACACAAGACATATTAATATATTTTACAAAATTGAAAGTTAAGATAGATAAATATATATAATTTTCTAAATATAGCTTTATACATAGTTGATATATATGTATACTATTATTGTAATATGTATATAATTTCATTTATGATTTATAAAATAATGTGTAAGATACAAAACGATGTCCAGAACTATTCAGTTGCTATCACACTTATTGCTTTATTTAAATTATATATATTATATATTTATTTATATTATTTCAGCCCATGTATTGTATTATTAAAATTTTCATTATCTTCATTATCATTTATGTTATCACTTGAATTATTTACGATTTCATCTTCGGAATTTTCACCACTTCCTACAAATGTTTCCTCCTGGAGAAAAGCAGGTGGTAATTTTGTAACAAATTGTGTAGCTTGTGTTTCAAGTAAAACTTGTGGTAAAAATGTAAAAAATTCCTCGTTTTCTCTTTTACAGACTTCTGCAGATGACATATTTGATATGTTTTTATATTTTAGCATTCTCATAGAATCGTTCTCTTCATCAGAATCGTCAATCTTTTCTTGACTAGATAAATCATTATTTTTAATCTTGCAAGTGGAAGGAATTATTTTTTTATATTTCGAATTAATGTTACTTGATGGACTTGACCATATGTAATAAGCAGGCATTGGTGGTGGAATAGGTATAAATTGACGATTCTTGTTGTCTTCAGTATTTGATACAGAGTCTTTTGATATATTTTTGTATATACGTTCTAAGGCTTTCGATTCTCGTTCAGACATAGATTTATGTTTATCAACTAGAGCTTCTTTCAATTCACTCATAAAATTCTTTACCAAAAGTTTATCTAATTTTTGCTGTTCCAATGAATACTTATCTGTTTCTTCATGCAAAGATTCTAGATAATCATCTTTTATATATTCCTCAAATACTTCATCAAGAATCTCTGGATCTGAATCGATTATTATAGGCAAATTGGGATTCTGATCTATCGTGATATCGTTAATTACAGACGGATCATTCTTCAATTTACGGAATCCCGACTTCGCCATTAATAAAACAACAAATTCTGTCAGACTTTTAGCTATATCAATCTCTTTAAATGCTCTATTCAATCTCTGCATCAATATCTCAGTTGTTTTATTATCAATGCCAGTTTCCTGACTAATGCAATCATCAATGTCTTTAAATATTGAAAATACTTGATTATAGGCTAACTGTAACTTATATGATGCTAAATCCAATTGAACACTCGGATCTTGCCATTTGGCCCTTTGTGCCCTAAGAAAAAAATATAACATGATGTAGTGTTTATTGTAATAAATATAAACATAAATGCACTTTAACTTACTTATGTCGGACTGGTTCCATTTCACAACTATGATAAACATTAATAATCTTCGACAATTTGATTTTATGTACTGTCAATTTCTTAATTAAAATGTGAATTATACGAGCTAATTTTGTTTCAGGAATCATTTGACACTGATGTATCCAAGTATTGCTGTCATATGCAATAGCTAATAAATATAACATTTCTGATTGTACCAAAAGATAGGTGTGATATAATTTCTGTAAAACAAGTATAAAAATATATAGTATAGTATAATAAGAAAAGAATTTATAACAAACAAATATTTAAAAATTTAATGTTGTGTTTATTTACCTTTAATGCTTCATAATTGATTTCGCTAGATATTTCAAATGAATTACATTCGAATTTTGTAAACAATTCTTCATTACATACATCTGGCGGCAATAGGTTTGCAATTGATAGAGAACATTCGTAATATAAGTACGAAATATTTCCCATAAATTCGATTAAAGTCTCTGTTAAAGGTTGCAAATATTGCAATTTCTTTCCCATGAAATGACTAATAAAAACATAGAAAAAGAGAATAACAATAGTTTTCTTTAGAATTAAATATTCATATATCTGAAATATTGATATTTGTAATTTAATAAGTTTGCGTACTCACGAGAATTGCTGGAAACATGTTTCAAAATTCAATTTTATTTTACAATTATGTCGTAAAATTTTAAGACTTTCTTTACACATGGCAAGCAGTTCATTTTGTAATGATATAACATTTTTTAAATCCCTATTTGCATAAAAACGCGTATATTTTATGTAACCAGCACAACAGATTATAGATGATGCAAATAGTGTTGGTAACATCTTATATTTACATAATGAAATATATGTTGAAGAAATTAATACTATTCCAGTTACAGTTAATTCCTGTAGCCTTGTTCTGCAAAATAATAATTTCATTATATAATTGAAGTTTTAATCATTTATGCAAGATAAGTTTCAGTCTTTTTTATAGCATATAAAATTTTATATAAATAAAAATAAAACATTATTAATAGCGTACAGATTTTATAAAAAAAGCAATAATTACTTTTTAGAATTGTCATTGCACTTGCTTACAAAATTGTTAATCACAAAAAAATGATCATTCAATAAAGCTTCTGCATTCAAAATTGCACTCAATTGCTTTTCAGAAATACTCTTTTCCTGTAAAAGATATAAATTGTACAATAATTATATGAAATGCAACTTGTACAACTATATTAGTTAATTGCTATTAAAGAAAGCAATACCTGTGTTATCCAGGAATAAAAAGAAAATAATTGTTTATAAATCTTCTGTATGATACTTCTAATATTCTGGAAAAATCAAAATTATATCTTATTAGTACTAATATAAAGAACACTGAATCAAGAATATATATCTCCATGTATGTCTCTATTATAAACATAATATATAAAAATTACAATATTTAAATATTGCTTCTCTTCCAAAAATGTTGTCTTTGGTACAGATACAGTTTCAAAATCTGTATAACCCAATTTTGACAGATGTTCATGAAGAGCACTACCCTGTAAAACAGATAAATATTAAGATTTTTAACAAATACTATTATTTTTTGTTATTCTTGATCTTTGTAACTCGTGTTTATAGAATGCAAAGACTGCATTGTATATTTAAAACAATTGAGAAACCATATTGTCAAACTGAAAAACAGAAATAAATAACACAATATATGCATTAATTTATTTTAAATATATCTTCGATTTTAATTTTACAAAAATGATAGTGTAAAATGTGTCCGTAAATATAACCTCATCATTTTGCTCATGAAGACAATATGGTTTCTTTAAATACGAATTTTCGTGAAATCATCGTACTTGTATCACAACATTTTCATCTTCCTCATCCATGTTATTTGCTTCCATCATTATTATTTAATATAAATATATCACGTATAATAGTCCGAGTAATATGCATGTCACATCGCAAGGTGTCTTGCGAAACATGATACGACGTCAAGAAGAAAAAATACAGATTTATTAATCGTAAAAGTTTTCGATCTCAAATAGAAAAAAAATCATTAAAATTCAGAGTATAATTTTTTCATGATTCCATTATTTCTAATCATCAGAGAACTCATTCATGTAACCGCACATGTTTACGACGCCCACGCATGCCCCTTCTTTCCCTTTTCCACATCGCGCATGCGCGACATCTGATCCGAAGAACACACAACTGACACAACAGCCAGTATAACCAACAAAGAGCTAGAGAGCTCGTGTTCATCTAATGTGTAATTACGCGTAAAATGTTATGTATTATTCCTCAAATGTCATTTACGAAACGTAATCGTGCGAGGAACAGGCGATCGTCGTTTTGCGATTTCTCGTAATTATCAGGTAAAAATCACAAACACACGTATGCATGCACGTACGGATAATTCGCGTGTAATACGCGTGCAAACGTAGCCATAAGTCGTAAGTTTGACAAGACACAGTGGCGGAGTAGTTGACGAGTGTCATTCGTTAGCGAAGATAGCGTGGGAGGTTGTAAATATTGGTTTACGAAATATATGTTGTCGACGTGTCGCGGTCATATCTTGTTTCCTTGAAGCATATATATCGATAATTAAAACGATTTAACCTAAACAACAAGCTCCGATCGACACGAGATGACATTATCGTAGGTCATGTCATTATTACGATGCTAATGCACGATAATAATCCTGTTTAAACTCGTGTACGGTTAAGTCTGTTGAGCTGTATTCTGTATATTGTATTGTTTATCGAATTTTTTTCTTTTTTTCAAGTATGTTTCACAGCACATCTTATTTGTGAAGTTTTAATAAGTTTAACAAACAATATTTTTAAATTTTTAAATTCTACCTTTTTTATCATTTTAGATATCTGTAAAATGGCAGACGTTAGGCTACTCATCCAGGAAGAAGGTCGTGCAGCTAGGAACTTGGTAGCCTTTAATGTACCTGTTGGTACGAATAATATAGAGAAAATTACAAAGAAGCCGCCCAGTGTACCAAGACAGATTCAGTCAGGTACAACAAAACGATCCATGAAACCAGCTACAAGAGTAAGATCTGCTTCTACAGGTCGTGATAAGAAATCTGGTAAGACAGCCTTTTGTTTGTAGAAAAAAAAAATTAACATTTAGAACCTCTGCATAAAAATATTTTAAAAGATATTAATATATTTTAATATAGAATAAAATTCAAACTTTTCCCTTAATTTTAATAGTGTACAATTTCTTTCCATTTACATAGTTTCTTTAAATAAAAATATTTTAAATAACATTAAAAGAGATTGGCAAATTTTTATATAAAATATCTTTAATTATTATATTATTATATTATTTATAATTATGCTAAAATATATTGTTTCCTAAAAATTTTGTTTTGTAAAAAAATATATTATTCAACTCTTAATAATTTGTATTGTTTGTATAGAATTACAGGCACGATATTGGGCATTTTTATTTGGAAATTTACAAAGAGCAGTTGATGGTATTTATCAAACATGCGAAGAAGATGAAAATATTTCTGAATGTAAAGAAGTTATTCTAGTGTTAGAAAATTATACCCGAGACTTTCATAACTTGATAGAATGGTTTAAAGTTAAATGGGCTTATGAAAATTCATCACCGCCATTAAGACGAACTCCTTTGGCTTGGGAAGTTAGAAAAACTTCTCCTTGTCGTATATGGAATTCTACAATAATTCCAAAATGTACTAGTCCTTTGCAAAGAGTAAGTCCAACAGAATTTCTTTGCAGGAGTCCAATTGATCAAACCATATGTGAAAATAAAATTGTAACAGACAATAAAGTTAATCATGTAAAGGAGGAATTTGTTCACAAATTATTGAAAGATAATAAAAACAATGTTTGCAAAAATTGTTCCTCTGATATTAAAGAGAAACGCAAAAATGGAATAGATAAGATTGGAAATCAAATGGCAAATAAAGAAAAATCCACATCAACGAAAGCACTTAAAGTATTTGTGAAGCAATCTGTGCAATCAAAAGCCAATAGTTTTGTGGACCGCAAGGCATTAAATGAAGGTGCAACATGTGATTCTAAAAATAAGATGGATGTTAAAAATGTTTCTAAACAAACAAAGGACACAGTAGCATTAAACAGTAACATTGTAAAGTTAGCAGATTCTAATTTATCTATAGAAAAACGAGAATCATGTAAAAATGATAAGGATGTTCAAATGATTTCATGTAGTAATTGTGAAATTATGCAAAAAGAAAGTAATGGAATGAATACTAGAGACAGTAAAACAGATGGGAAAAATTTGGATAGCAAGTTATCATGTAATAAAACTAACATTGGATTGGCAAAGCATGAAATTAATGCCAAAGTTAAAAAAGAAAGTATTAAAAAATGTGAAAACAATCACATTAATACTGAAAGAATAAATACGAAGACACCCATTGCTCAAAATACTTCAGAAAAAATTTGTCAAATAAATAAACATTCCCATGATAAATCGAATAATAAGGATATTCGAAATACATTATCTGGCCCTGTAATAAACAATGCAAATAGACCTGCTTATTCAACAGTGTCGCAAACAAAATCTAAAGTACAATCATCAACTTTAAGCGAAACTCCAAAGTTTGTTAGAAGTAAAACTTGTTTAAGCGACAAGAATTTATCTGCTTCAAATAAAACAAGGCCTGGAACGTCTGTTATTGTAAGAGGACGATTTCAAACTCCTGAAAACAAGGTACTTTTCTATTAAGGAATAACTTTTATTTTGAATCTGTAATGTACTGTGTTAGATATAACATATATTTTACATATTCTAACAACAAATTTATTTATTATTTTTTAGTCTAAATTAATTTAATATTTTTTTTTAGTTATCTGAACAAAGCACTTTAAGGAAAGATCAAAATAGAGACATGAATGGGTCAGTAGAAGTTTTAACCAAACAAACAGCATCTCCAAAGACAAAAGATGAAAGTGATGGTTGGCAAACAGTTAGGAATCGTTGTAGAAGAGGGAGCACTCATAACTTGAACATGTCTACACGCTTTCATAAACCAAGTACTGCTCTATCCTTGCCAGCTTTGTCAATAGAAAGTCCGTCAGAGAAAATAAAGAAGACTAGTTACACTCCTGATGGGAACAACAAACAAAGGAAAAAATGCATTGTAGGAAAAACTGGCAAAAACATGAATAATGAAGTTAAAAAAGTAAAGAGAGAATTCATGACATCTACAATTAAGAATAGTCTCGAAGATACACTGAAAAAGAATACTTTAAATTTGTGCGACAATTCAACATCAGTGATTGCAGCTATTTTTAAGAACGATGCAGAATTACTCGAGAAACGCATACAACAGTTCATGGCTGCTCAGGCAGAAAGAGAAAGAATTATTTTAGAAGAAGAGAGGAAAACGGAAGAAGCAGATTCTCAAAGATCTCAACAGCTGTCGGATGAAGAAGCTTCTTTGAAACGGCAAATTTTGGAATTAGAATCTGCCGAAATCGATATTGATACGGAAACAGATGAAACAGATGGTGAAATGGTTCTTGAAATGGAAGATGAGCCTACAGCGTCGCTTAGTAGCGGTACTGATGATATTAGTTTAGAGGATAGGTACATATAAACTATGCGCATTTATATAATATCTTATGATATATTTTACTAATAAAATTGATATTATCCCAGGTACGAAAATATGTTGGAAGGAATGTCTTGGTCGGAACGAATTGATACTCTTGCACAGTTGCGTGCATTAGTAGCTCGCCATCCGGGGCGTGCTTTAGAACTGCATCAGAAACTTTCGTCTCCGTCACGGAAAAGATCGCTCCCCGAAACGTTAAGAAGATATCAAGCGAAGCAAGATTGCGCGCAACACAAACGTCAAAAGCTACTAATGGAAAAATCGCAACGATTGCGAGAGTTATTGAACAAAGTGGAAGACGTCAAAAGCGCAAAAAATCAATTGATAGAAAACAAACGGATCAGGATGGAAATGAGACTTAAAAAGGCGGAGGAAAATAGAACGCAACATTTGTTAGAAATAGTGAGAAAGGCACATGATGAGGATTCGAAATTGAAAGAAATAGCTTTTATCAATGAACTTGAGGCGCAAAATAAGAGGCATGATTTTATGGCTTTGTGTCAAGAACAGGAAGAAAGATTACAGGTATATATTTTCGAGCAAAAAGAGATAACATACAGTTTCAATAACTTTTTGGGGATTTTCTCTGCATATATATATATATATATATATATATATATATATATATATATATATATGACATGTTGTATATAATACAAATATATATAATATTAATACATATTGCATTGATCTTGAGAATATACATATTATATTAATATAATAGCAGCTTTTTAATAATTGATTTGTGTTATATAGGGGATTCAAGAAGAACGTCAACGTCGACAGGAGGAAAAAGCTGCTAAAGAAGCCGCAGCTGAAGAACGTCGAAGAGCTTTGGAAGCGGAACGGCAGCTAAGAATTCAAAAAATGAAACAAGCGCGACGAGAACGCGAGGAAAGAGTTGGTAAAATGCAACTTGAAAGAGAAAAAGAACGACAGGTAAATCAATTGTCATTATGCTTGTGCACAATTTTTTTCATCTAACTCTTGAATCTCTTATCTTGATTTTAATTATAGGAATTAGCGAGGGAAAAGGCACGAGATCGTGAAGAACGCTTATCGGCACTTCACGCGGCTCAACTGGCTAATCAGGAAGAGTTGCAGAAAAAAATAGCGCAGAAACAGCAAGAATCCGCTAGACGTCACGTGGAGAATATTGAACATATTCGGCAACGTGCCGTTGAATCTTCAATCTTAAGATCGGAAGAAGTACCACCTACTCTTAAATCCTATCCCTCTCAGAAACAGTGCTCCTTATGTGGCACGATTGTAAGTTGATTTAATTTTATATAATGTATCTTTTTTTCCCTTTAACAAGATGTTACATTTGTATATATTTTATATCAGATACCTAACGAAGTACATCTTCTGAGCCATTTGAAAGGAAAGACGCATCTCGAAGCAGTACGAAATGCGCACGATAATCGTGAACCATCGCGAGACGAACTTCAACGTTTTAATATTGCACAAATACGGGATGTTCCGGCTATGGTGTTCATTAATAACAACGCAAACAGTAACAGGGCTGCGAGAGAGAAGCAGAAAGCGCTAAAGCGCCGATGTAGAAAGATAAAGCAACGCATGAGCTTACGTGAACAAGAATGGGAGGATAAATGCAAAAATGAAAGTAATCAGAATTTATCTGTCGAATCGGCCAATAAAGTCAAATTTCGGCGCAATTTAAAAGAGTTGGATAGATTATATAATAATCATTCCAAATCTGCATGGTCGATTACAGCACTTGCTGCCTTGGAGCGCTGCTTGGGTGAAATTGTTCGAGCTTTCTCTAAAGCTGTAAGTTTATAGAGAAGAACAATGGCTTTTGAAATTATTCTACATCATTATATTTTATTTATCTTATTATTGTATTCTGTTTCAGTGTCCATCTGATCAGGATGCTTTCAGATGCTTGAATGGATTTGACACCTTAACAAACTTATTGACCCTAGGCTTAAATACACAAAATACATTATATAATTTACCAAATAAGTAAGTAATAAGTACTAAATGTAATCAAATATTTTCGATTAATGCTACAAGATATTTTCTACTTATATTTAAAATTTTAGAGCACTTATATCACTATGTCGAGTTTACAAAGCGAGCATCAGCGAAAACGTCGAGAACACGGAAATGATTCTATTAAGCAACAAAATCCTCGTTATATTGGATCTACTTTTACAACGTTTAGAGGTAAGTTTACATTTATTTATCTCTGATAGCGTTAATTCTCCCATGCGATCGCATTGGTAGATAAATATAAATTATAATATGAATTTACATAAAAAATTTCAAGATTAGTGTGGCGATTATTTTTTTATCCAATAACATATAGGTAACAGGTAAATTATGTTTCTATAAACACATATTTAATTTTTCAACTTGTGATTTGTTTGAAAAAATGTGTATTATGATAGAAAAGAATAAATAGAGGCGATAATATTAATTTAAAAAATTGAAATTAATTTATTACACGATATCGTTTTGTATATCACATCTATTTGGATTTATTCTTTATATATTGCACAAATTGTTGAAAATTCTTAAATTGAATTCTTTTCTGTGTTATCATTTTTTTCATTTCTGTTTCCAAATTAAAGTAATTAATAAGAATTCTTTTCAGAATATTTTTCAATATAAAAATTTTTGTCATTAGAATTTTTATTATAAAACGCAATTTGGATATACACACGTACACGCAATTATATACATATAATATTATTTATAAATATATTTATTAATTAATTTATATATTCGTTATTTATAAATATATTCATTAATTCATTCGATTATACATATATATAATATACATACAATTCGATATATAAAATTTGAATCAACTTTTATCCAATACGTGCTGCCATCTGAAATGAACCAATTATTTTCAAATAGAAATATAGTATTTCAGTTCGATACAATAGTGCGATATCTCTCAAGGTGTTTTACTCGAAATAATCTTTGAAAAAGATCCTGGCAGAATTGATATTCAGGTAATTTTTCAAGAAAATTCAAGCGAAAAAAGATTGATTTTTATAATTAAATTACATTATTCACACACGAGATTTTGATCGCAATTCTGTATTGTATGGTTAAGTCTAAATATTATTATCGCGATTCTCATCTTTCATTTCTCATTAATATCAAAGCATTGATGAAACTTTGATTATAAATCTAGGAATTATAAATCTCTCAAATTACTCTCAAATTAAACTTAAAAGTATAAACAAGTAGATATAACAATCTTTATCTTATGTTTAATTTCCCAAGGAAATTTTAATAAAATTGTTACAGTAACCTTAAATCTTGAGATGTAAAATTATTCGAAATTATTATTATTATTATTATAGTTTGCAATCAGATGATAACAGTGGATTTTTTATCATAATTATTTTTCACGTTACTGAAAACTATTTTGTGTGAAAAAAAGATTCTCCTCGAGTTTTTGTTTTTCAAGATCTCCATTTTTTTACTTCTAATTTAAAAAATAAATATTCTATTATTCTAAAAACATAACTCGATATTTTTTTTATCTAATCCGGATAACTAAACGAATATTTAGAAAAATGACACCACTTTTACGTAAAGCGCTTTAATTCTTGAAAGCTGCTTTCATATTGACAATGAGATAAAAAAATCTCTGTTAAAGTTTCGGGGCTGAGGCAAGCTATACAATGACATTTATCGAATGCGCATAAACGTATCGTCGTCTAAAGTGAATTAATGTGATAGATAGGCATGTAGATTATAGCTTATTTTGTCTTTTTCTCCTTTTTATCTCGTTTTGACATTGTGACAGAGAAACGACGTTGGTAAAGACGACGTGCCCCTGTCATCCTGTCTATTCTGTCCAACTTGTCAAAATAAGGATTAAGACTCTTCGGGATTCACGATTTTACATCGCGGTTGTCTTTAGACCAGTTTCGAGAGTCGTGTGGTAGATACGCATCGCTTATCCATGTAAAAGACGCGCGGAGTAAATAAAGAACGAGATATACTAATTTCGGAGTCGAAGGCTCAAAATAAAGGGAAAGATATAAATGTGAATCCTTCTGCAATAATAATATTCAAACAATATATTAGTGTTTATATCTATATTAGTGATGAACATACTTTTATTGGGTGTTACAAACAATTGCAATAATATTGTTTGCATTGTTTCAATAAATTAATTGACAGATTAGATAATATTTATTTTTTAATAATATATGTATATACACGAAGGGGATGTCTAACATTTGTGATATTATTTTTTGAATATTGACATTTTTCATCACAATTTAAGAGAATTTTACTTTCGGAATAATTTTTAAATTAAAAAGAAATATACGTTGCTCTTTTCGATATTTTCTGTTTATTTTATTTATTATTTTTATTGGATTCGCGGTTCAATTAGTTACAAATATTTCATCAAATGACCTTTTTGGTGCGCGGTTAGCGAAATAAAAGATTCGATTTAATTCGATTTATACGCGTTGTCATTTTATGGTATCGAACAAATAACGAATGCTTTGTGCAATTAAAAAAACAGCAAATATGATTAATGGGACTGAATTTTTACATTCCTGGTTATGCATTTTGAACAAATAATTTTGTTGTACATATGTAACAAAATATATAACAAAATGATATATAACAATATGAATATATTCATATACAAGTAAATGCTCAATGAACAAGTGCATACGATATCTTTATCCTATAATGTACAAGGTAATAGAACTTATTAATATACAAAGGGACTTTTTACGTCCGATATTTCACGCACGTCTCCTCGAAATCGTCGAAATGAAACGAGATTCACGCTTTTAAACGCATCATACGTCTAGCAGCGTATCTTTTTCGATGTACCAATTCATCGGCGTGATTTCGCCATCGATTCTTCACGCTCCATAGATACGGCACTGGCGCCACCTCCTTCCTGCTCCCCCCCTTCCAAGGATCCCTCTCCGCAAATGCATTAGCGGCGAGAGAGCTTTTAGTGACGTCACCCACATACAGATACGCGTGCACGCACGAACGTCACGCGCGCGGATGGAGCAGAGTTATACGGTGAAAGGAAAGTCCGTCCGAAGAGAAAAAGAGAAAATGAAAGAGAGAGAAAGAGAGAGAGAATATACGCATGGGGTACTCCTGTTTCCACTTCCATCAAGCCCCGGTTTCGAGGACCCGGCCTAATCTTTTGTCTCGTCTCCTCTCCTCTTCTCTCCTCTCCTCTCCTCCTATCGGCGCTTTTTCAACGACCTCTTCGCACGTTTCAGAATCCGAAATGCGCGCTGCAATTTTCCCGAGCTACCGCCCTTCGTCTTCCTTCGATACGATCGCGGTGGCGAACGCGAGCGAGATTTTACATAGAAGAGAACTCCCGACATTTTATTTTTGCGCGCTCTAATCGAAAACTTAAAACGTAAAATATCAACGATATTTATTAGAGACTGCAGTTTTTCGTCAAATTTTTTCACGGTTTTGATAACATCGCCTCAAATTTTTTCGTGAGCAAATCACCTTTCTCTTCAAGGCAAAAAGTTGAGATTTGAAAAATTAAAATACGACATATCCGTGGAAAATTATAGGCAAGAATTCTGATAAAAAAATTGGAAATAATAATAAAGCATATTTGTAAATTTGTGATACGCATAAAATAATATAATATTATTCAGAAATAGATATTTTGCTTTTGTCGAACTTCAAAAGCTCTCGAAATTGATTTGGTGTAAATGCGCAAACCATGAGCTTCTGATAAGTAAATCAATTAAGCGAAACAAGTTAGCAACTCTAGTGAAAAGCAGCGTTTAATTGTACAATAATTGATATATCGATTGAAAAGACTTGTGGAATTATAAAAATTTAGCTAAAAATAAGATACTTTTTAATATCATCTAAATAAAAATTTCATACGATATTAAAAACTATTCTATTTATCAATTCTAAATTCTTATAACTCTTTATTGATTTTGTTACCTTTTTCTACGATAGATGAAATACTTGAATCCTATACGTTTTGATAGAAAAAAATTTGTTTACAATAGATTGAAAAAAAAATAGGAAAAAGAAATATATATATTTTTTTCAGACTATTTATACTTATATATGTCTAGGAAAAATCGAGAACGAAGATGCATCTTTTAACTTCAATTTATTTTTTAATCGCATAACACGATATTTAATATTGATATTTTATTTGTATATGAAAACAATTAGGAAAACAAGTTTCTGTGATATTTGTACCTCGATTTCGGAGGAATCATTATTCTTTCATTATTCGTTTTTATTTCATTCAAACTAATACAATAATATAGTCAAGAGACATATGTTTCTGTATGCATTACACGTTCGTCTTATAGTAACTACCAAATTTCGTACAGTTTAAGCGGACATTGGACGCGAATTCACTTGTTTTATATAGGCATTTTGCCTTTATTGCTGTTCGTATATGCTCACATAGCTCCGTTTATCGTTAAAGCGTCTGGTATTATTATTGGTCAGGTTTGCCTCCATATGTGATATGGGGATCCTCGAGAAAATGAAAACAAGGGAATCACCTCGTTACTAAATGGACCAGAAAAAGATGTCGCGTCGTAAAAAGAGCCGCGGAGATAAAGATTTTCGTCAAAATAAAAAATTCAGATAACCGGGATTAGATGCGCAAAATTCTCGTTTTTATCTTTATAACTGCCGTGTCTCTCTCGATATACGAGCGTTTTAATACCCCTTAAATACAATCGATGAGACCGAGTTCGACGAAAGTAATCAGGCGTGCATTCAATTAAAAGATAGAAAAGATCCATAACGTCTGTTATTTCAATGATATTTCGCAGGGCTATTTTATTTCTTTCGTAATGATTCGTGATGGACGAAAAAAATGCGGTTTTAATCGAATTAAAAAATTTAAGAAAATCGAGACGGACTATTTTAATCCACCCTCTATCTGGCTGATCGGAGAAATTTGTATAGTTTGGACCATTAGAGACAAAGAGACGAATTACTCGAAGGGGGTTTGTAGATTTTCCCCTCCCCCCCCCTTCCCGCGAATGTTTCCCAATCGCTGGTCCGTCGACCAAATAAATTTACAATTCCACGTAAATTGCTAGAAATCATTCGAAGAATAAATCCTAAGGCCACATCCCTCTCTAGCTCGAGGATTTATACACGTGATTCATATGCGTGACTGCATTCCAGTTGATAGGCAAAGAAGAACGGTTTCAATGATTACAAATTGTATTTGCTGACCATAAAAAAAAAGGGAGTTGTCAAATGAATTAAAGTCCGAGCAACATATAGATCGAAAAATAAAGGAGATGTAACGATTCATAATAAAAGACATATAATATTATTATGTCTTTTGTTTAATATAAATACATACGCGTAAAAAATGCACATGCATGGTACAACCTTTCTGTCATTCTTTATTTTTTAAATTGTACATATTTTTAAAACATTTAGAGCTTAAATATTTTCGTCGGAAAAATTTACATTATAAACATAATATGAATATAATTGTATTTTAAATAGAGAATATATAAAATAATTTTATTTTATCATTTATTGTCGATGAAATAAATATGCTTTTAATTGAATTTTGCTTTTTATCAATCCCGCAAAATTTCGGATAAAATTTACAAGCTGCATGTACTTTATAAATTAATCATAAAGTCGTAGAGTCCGAATTAAACAAAAATTATCGATGTCCCGTAGGTTTCTCGAATTCTCTAAGATCGTCTCGTCGACTCTTTAGTGTTTGGAAAAAACTGGATTAACATAAAAGCATCTCCTGTTTACGATCCCATGTACTCGATATATGCGTTCCTCGAAATTTCAACGTCTTGTTGGCGTCTTGTTTTCGTTCGTTCCGTATCAGAGAGAATGTCGTGGCGGTCCTTTTTTTTCTCCTCGATACGGATGGGATTGAATTTGTCAAGATAGTGGTCAAACCACTTTTTAATGTTTCGTTGGAGATTATTTCGCTACCTCTCTTATAAGCAGGCCGGTTCGTAACATTATCTCTTCTATCCAAGATGTTCGTCCGGCGCAACAATAGTTCTTAAAAGATTATGCGCCCTGGAATGCTCAGTGAATGCTCCATGATATCTCTTCAAAAACTAACAATAGTTTTTACAAAATAGATGTACGTTTCAAGTGACTTAAGCTTGTTATTTCCTAAAATAAATGAAAACAAATATATATATATATATATATATATATATATATATATATAATAAATAAATAAAAAATAAATTTAAAAAAATTAAAGGAAAAAAAGATATTCCTTCTAAGAGAGAATAAATTTTATAACGTAATATTAATATTTTCAGATATTATATAATATACAAAAAATACGCTGATTGTTAAAATTTTTACGACATCGGATTCGAATTCAGAAATCAATGATTGCAGAATGTCGCAGAATTTTCGCGTTCGTTCATTAAAATTTAAGCTAATTTTCGATCCAAGCGAGTAGATCATGGCGGCCAGAAGCCAAATAAAAATAAACAAACGTGTAATATATGTACGACTTTTCGATAGGATTCCTCGAACGACTTATCGAAGTCGAGGCTAAACCGTTTAGGACCCATATTCCTGTCTCCAGGATTCTTATCGAGACACTTTGTGACTCGTTATCACTAATTTAGCGTTCTAAATGCGCCTATGTATGCATGTGTTGTCCACTCGCAGCCTAACGGGTCTGTAACAATGACTCAACGGATCAAGAATCTGGCATATGTATGTGTATCTAGCGTTTAGTTGACCGACCAGAATCGGACGTTAAGTAATCAGCGAGCGATACGTCTCTTATAAAAGCGAAAACATATCTGAAATTTCTTCAATTATCCAAAAAAAAAGGTGAAAAATTAAATTAATTTTTTATTTTTTTAATTCTCTCTTGAAGACTTTTTAATTTCTCAACAAGTGTTTTTTTGCGAAGTACACGCATGCATTTTCGATTTAATGATTTTAATATCAATGACTAGCTTTGACTCTCTTTGTCTATCCCTCTCGTATCTATTACATCGAGAAGGGGAAGATTTTATTTCATCGGAAAAAACAATGTTTCTCCTCTTCTTTTCTTGCATTTCGATATATCTATTGTCATTTTTAATTGCAACGTGTAATTGTACACTAAAATCTAATGGATTTCATTTCTCAAATATCTCGCTTTATTCTTAGCCGCCGTAATTTTTTCACGCTATTAAATGGACAAAAAATCCAGTCGCATTTCTTCGATCGCAAATATATTCTTCTCCTCTATCTCTCTCAACTAAACATTAGTAATTCTGACGTGTTTATTTCAAAGAGAATTGCAATTATTCACCTTTCGCAAATACGACGCTTTTTCCTACATTTTAGAGGGAAGGGAGAGTACTTTGTAAAAATATCTATTACATTTTTTGCTTTAACTATTATGTTTCTTCCCCTTGCAGACTCTGACTAGTCTTGACGACCACGCTCAGACCCAGGATGTATCCGCCAATTCAACCGGAAATGGAATGGTAGCCGCCAGCGCGACGCAGTTGCTGTGCAGCCTGATCCCCGAAGAGCTCTTTGAGAAAACGGTCTTGCAGACTCGCGTTCAAGATATTGCCGGGTAAGTCCTTCAAACGTTCAATTTATGAGCGCAGTCTCGTATTACGCGATCCTGAAGCTTCAATATCGACGTCGCATCGTGAGAACCCAATCCTCTTTTAAATGATAAAAATATTTTTATTGACATATATATTCGAAACGGGCGACTGAGTGTCGTAAAAGAATTACGTTTATCTCGCCTTATGTAAAGATCCAAATAGTTTCCAATATATTTCACTCGTTTTTCCTTATATACTGATTTCAAAAATCCGTCTCTCGCGTCAGAATTTTATAGAAAAAAAAAAGAAATGTCTTTCGTATTTATATAATTTTTGCCAATTCTGTATAATAAATCCCTTTCTTCGCAATACATGTCAAAAGTTGGTATAAAAAATTAATCTATTAATTCTAAAGATGCGTAGACTTATGTCAAATAATAAAATAATAACAATTTAAAGCATCATTATCGAATATCAGAATTGAATATTACAATAATTTCAAACGAAACCTAAGCTAATTTTAATTAATTTTGTGTCAAAAAATGAAGCGCATATTAAATTAAAATTATGTTTAATTAAAAATATTGTATTGTGACGAGAAACACATCGATGCAGAACAAATACAATATTATGTACATATTTAATTGACAGTTGATCGTTTTAGAGCGATGTTCGGGGAAAGCTAGCTAACCAAATGCGATTATCGTTAACAATTCCATAAATTTATTCTGTGATATCTTGTATAAAATTTATAAAGACAAACACAACTTTGATACTTTAACGGATACTCTAGCGTACTTTATTATTAGCTACACATCTTTTCCACGATTTAAAAAGATCTCAATGTCGATGCTTTTTGTATCACCGAATAAGGCTAGAGTAGCATCGTAGGGTGTCTATTAGTTCGATTATTAGTTACAAATGGCGGGTTATTAAAATTAATCTCTATAGGCGACCGAAGCATTATTTCGCTGATTAGGGTAATCGGAGCATAATTAGCAACGTTCCACTTTTTCCTGGACGATACGAACGTTCTACGTAATTGCGGGCAATCATCTACAATGAAATTGTAACTTCTGTAACGTGTCTTTACGTATCTTTTCCCCATATTTTTTTCTATTTTTTGTGGAGTTCCTCGATAAAAGGACTAGAGCCGCTGAGATGGTGCTTTGTGATAAAAAGCGGATTATTGGAACGATAATGTAGAAGAAGTAACATGAAAGCGACAAAATTCACGTTACTTAAAATAGAAAAAAGAAATACGTAAAATTAATTTACATGTGTACAGTATTTTTTAATTTATATGAAATTATTCGCCTTTTTTCGCAACTTTTCTCTCATCGATCATCGATAGATCTTTCTTTGCGTCGCCAAAGCTATTAGCGCCTGACATTCGCTTTCGTACAATTTATGTGCACTCGCCCGCTTCTTGTCGAAAATCCGCGTCTTTTGATCTGGTCGAGTCATTTGTTGCGCAAACACGCCATCGTCTCCAGGACGGCGCCTTTGAACGAAGGAATATTCGAGGAGGTGCTTTGAGGTGCATACGCGAGGACCACCCTGTCTGAAAATATAACCGCGCGTCAGTGGTGAACTTAATACGCGAGTCAGGCCGAGTGACAAGACGCAAACTGTTTTCGTTGCATCGCGCGGGATCCGTGATCTTCGCGTTCGGAGGTTGACGGTTCGCACCTGGGTCAACTTCCTCCGCGAAGACCCCCCAAAACGTCGCCTTAACCCCTTTGCGCGCACGTCGAACTCGATTTTCTCCTCCTCTCGCGCGCTCGTCCCTTTTCTCCACTTTGCGACACGTGTCTCTCTTCCGGGGAGGAAAATCATGTCGCAGACGTTTCATCTCTCCATAGGAACATTATTAAAGTAACAATTACATAATATAATTAGAGTGGTAAAATTGGAGTAAATTTAAAAAGTGATTTAAAGAAAAGTATTAATTTACATTAAGATAATTATGATTAATAATTATAATAATTTTAAGCTTCAAATTTTAAGTATTTATTAATTCAGGCAATTTTTAGATCTTTATTATTTATATTATTTACATATTTTAAGAATGTTTAAAATTTTATTTTATTTTTTTTAAAGAAAAATACTGGTCTACATTAAGATGATTATTATGATTAATAATTATAATAATTTTAAACTTCAAATTTTAAGTATTTATTAATTCGTGCAATTTTTAGAGCCTTATTATTATTTATATTATTTACACAAATTAAGAATGTTTAAAATTTTATTCTTTTAAAGAAAAATATTGGCCTACATTAAGGAAATTATTATGATTAATATTTATAATAATTTTAAGTTTCAAATTTTAAGTATTTGTTGATTCGTGCAATTTTTAGATCTTTATCATTTATGTTATTTACATAAATTAAGAATGTTAAAATTTTATTTTTTTTAAGTAAAATAAATTGTTGAATTCTATTGAATTATTGAATTATTATTAAATTCTCCTATTATTAATTAAATTTATATTATACGATTAAAAAAGTTGAGATAAATTTTTTATTCCCAAAAAAATAAGCTCTATTTATTAAAATAATTTTTTTGTGCATTTAAAAAAATGTTTGATGAATGTAGTATATTTTTACGTTATTATAGAATTCTTTATAATAAAATTCGTGTTATCATTATCTCGATTTTACGAATGGAAGAACGTTTTTCTTTTATGCATCTGAAATTACGCGGGCGAGCAATTTGAACTTTTGTGTGGGTGACAACGTCGCCCTAAAAAGATTGCACCAGATTGTTATTTTCTTCCGACATACTTTGCTGTAATCGGGTGAATCTGCGCATTTCACACCTTCACCGATCGCGTACCGTGACTATGTATAATGAATGACGAAGGTGTGCGATCAGAATTATTGTCGACCGGATAGCGGGATTATTATGATTAATTTCCTGCCGATGTGCGCGAGAAAGGCCTAGTCACGATTTTTACTCAGCGGCGAGGTTGCTTTTCGCTCGTATCTTTAAAGCGCGCAGATGTGTAACGGCGATCGATCATTTTGTACATCGTAATGCTTATTCGACGGGATCGTTAAGTGCTGCATTCGCCATCACTCCTTTCCCGGAAAATAATGCGCAATTTTTATTTCGCACACTAAGATACGGCATTTTTTTTTTCTCTCTTTCCAGTAATGCATTCGTAATTCGCGATTATCGCGAGGTCTTGGAGACAGATTTAGAATTTTACAACAAGCGAAACGGACAACAATCACTTTGCGGGACGCTCATTTCATGATGTCATTCATACATGCTAGATGATGCCATCAAATAATGATTCGATGACATCATAAATATTGATATTTTAATCAGTTATGGCATAACATGCGGTAAATCGCATAATATATGAATACATTTGTACGTGTGAAGAGCTAAGAGTCATATTATCATCTAAATTTTTCTTTAGACGCTTCTACTAAATATTAATAATATAAAGGGAAATCTTGAAGAATTTTAGATAATTAATTTTCGAGATAATTTTTTAGATAATTAATTTTAAATTATCCTCACAGATAAATGTTTTTTTCACTCATTTGTTCAATCCATAAGACTGACCAAATATTCGATTTACTGATAAAAATGAATTCCAAAATGTACGTGTAATATATGAAAATATAATTATCATTAGATTTTATCAGGTGATATACAAAGCAGATATCCCTTAAACTTTTTGATGGCGTATGAATGACTTCATAAAGCAACAGATGTGCGATATGAAGATAAGGAGGTATATAAAAAGTGCGTATGTTTGCTTATCACCTTTTATCCGTTAGTATCTCTCCGCGATCTTTCTGACAATGAGTAGAGAGGCACCGGTAGCAGCAGCTCTCCCAGGAATCATTTCCCTCGTTTCCCTTATTTTTTTTAATGTCGACAATGCCAAAGATAAATGAGCTTTTCATCGTAAACTTCGTGGCTCGTCGAGAGAATCGCGTCCTACTGATTCTCTTGAATATACAAAAATATGTATTTAAATTATTTGCATTTTTATAAGAACGATGCTTTCCATTCTCGAAATCTCTCCGAAAAAAAAAAATACTTAATTTATCTATTTTGACTTTACTTAAAAATTCGCAAGAAGAATCTTATCGTTATATTAGGACTGAATAAAAATGAATTTTATTGTATGTAATCGCGTGATATTGATTTATATAAAATATTTGATTAATATTTAATTATATAAAATATTCTTTGATATTTAACCTGTAAAAATATATTTGATGTTAGGACATTTATATATGAAAAATTATTATTGAAAGTAACTAGATGAGGGTTAAAATTGTGACCACAAAAACAATGTGACTCCGCCTCTTTTCCCGTAATCGAAAACTCTCAAAGACGTCGACGATCGAGACTTGAGTGGCGACCATCGAGACGTAATTGCTAGAGAGAGAGTACCGTAGAAAAATCAAATCCACAAACACTCTTACCGTTAATCACGATGAAGAGAGAGGAAGGACTTGCCTGGTGTAAAGTCCACATGAAACGAGATCGAATAATTAATAATTTGTCATTTTCATAATTAATGTAACATAAATTTTGTGATTATTACCAGTATTCGCGAACAATATCCAATTTTAATCAAATTTAATTGATTCAATGAAGACGAGAGATAAATTGAGAGATAATTAAACTTCGATCTTTCACCTCATAATTTTTTCAACTTTAAATAAGTCTCGCATTAACTTTTAACTTTTGGAATAAATATGGCGATCGTATATCGATAATCGGGATGTTCTACCGTGAAGATTTTGACGTGTCAACAGTTGGATATTTTGAATCGCTCAATAGTAAGATTGACATTATGAGTGCGCGAACAAGAGTGACACGAGAGACCGAAGAAATGTGTCAGTTTAAATCGTTATGCCCCTTAAAGTACTCGTGTCTTGCTTCGCGCCCCCGAGATAAATCACAGTTTGCTCTGGTTAATTGAAACGGATGTAGGCGGAACTCGATGCGATCTCGCTTTTTGTTTCTCTTCGCGGCTCTGGGATTA